ACCCCGCAGATGCCTCAGTGTCTCTGTCAACTGTGTTTTCTGGTTCCTTCCAGCCAAGATCCACGAAGAGATTAACCAGGTGATTGGACCCCACCGGATCCCGAGTGTGGACGACAGGGTCAAGATGCCCTACACGGATGCCGTGATCCACGAGGTCCAGAGACTGACGGATATCGTGCCCATGGGCGTCCCGCATAACGTCGTCCGGGACACTCAGTTCCGAGGCTACCTTCTGCCCAAGGTGGGGTGAAGCGTCCTAGCCCCTCCTCCTCCCGCCACCGCACCCATCTCCCTGCCCCATACTCAGGCACCCATTCTCCTAACTGCTCCCTTGTCACCCCAGGGCACCGACGTGTTTCCTCTGCTTGGCTCCGTCCTCAAAGACCCCAAATACTTCCGCTACCCAGACGCCTTCTACCCGCAGCACTTCCTGGATGAGCAGGGACGCTTCAAGAAGAACGAAGCCTTTGTGCCTTTCTCCTCCGGTAGGTTTCCATGTCCGAGTCTTCCCCAGGGACGGGACAGACTCGCCCCTAGCCCCTGTCTGCATCTGAAGCTCGGGTCTGAGCAGGAAGTTGAACGTCTTTTCAGAGTCGTGAAACCCCAGAATCCCAGCAAACTCAGTCCACCGACTCTCATCACAGCGCAAGAAGGGGCCAGCAAGGGTTTTCTAAGACCAAGTAGAGAATGTTCAACGGTGTGCAGGTCACCTGGTCTCCGCATGAACTTGCCTCGGCCGTTGTACACACAGCCCCCACTGACCGCGCATCAGTGGTGAGCTTCACTGGGTTGCCAAAGACCTTAGTGAAGGCTGCTCAAATTTGCATTTCATCCTCAAATACTTCTTCCTGATATTTTTCGAGGACTGAAAATTAGAGGATGCATTCCTCATTTGCAGGCAGTACAAAAACAGGCAGACTTGGCCTATGACCACTCACTTGCTGACCCCACACAGAATATCCTAGAACCACAGTTTTCATGCACTTTGAACCCAGAACCAGGACAACAGTTAGGAAACACGTCACCACCGTGCACTTACGAGGGTCTGAGTTGAGGTACTTCAGCCCCTAGGCTGCGGAGTGGAAATCAATCTCCTCAAACCACTGGGTGGGTAACTGGAAAATAGTAAGCACAACTGGAGTGTGAGCTACTTTCATCTTCCCCAGTGTCTGGCAGCTAGTGGAGCCTGATAAACCTTGGAGAAATTGAAATGAACAGAGCCTTCTCGTTCCAGAGTCCTTTAAAATCATCACCTTAGACTCTGAGGGAATCCAGGTGGTCAAAGGGGTGCTGGGCCGCTCCAGTGGCAGAACCTAGCCGGGCTAGCGTTCCAGGGGGCCTGACGAGGCCATGGTCACCCTATAAAGTGGATACTATCAGCACCTCAGAGATGCGGAGGAGGCACCCCAGCTCGGAGGGGGGGTGGGGCCGGAATCTTCCTACCCCCGCCCACCCCGTAGGCCAGGGCAGGTGTGATCCGCCCTCCGGGCCTCCCCTGTGCCCACAGGAAAGCGCGTCTGCCTGGGAGAGGCCATGGCCCGCATGGAGCTCTTCCTCTACTTCACCTCCATCCTTCAGAACTTCTCCCTGCGCTCGCTGGTGCCACCTGCTGACATCGACATCACGCCCAGGGTCTCAGGCTTTGGCAACATCCCTCCCACCTACCAGCTCTGCCTCATGGCCCGCTGAGCGCCCCCTACCGGGCGCGGGAGGAGCCGGCGGAGACCAGAGCCAAGCCCACGCGTGTGCGCCAGCCCCACTCCCTACACCCTCTCAGCAGCCCTGAGCCTGCGCTGGTCCACGGCCTCGGGCCACAGCCAGCGAGGGCCTCCTGCGACCTAGAGCCTTGTTTGTCTCCCCAGCAGAAAAGCAATCACCTGCCCAAGATATGGGCGATGGCCTTTGCATCTACTTTGTCTTGATCCCCTCCCGCTGCTTCTTGTAGATCCCACCTTCGTGTTCCTTCGTCTTTGTCCTGACAGTCACCAAGTGCGGGACACACCCCCCGCGTCCCCATGCTCATACCCTCCACCCCAGACGCAACATGGCAATCAAGACTGGTTGTGTTGTTGACATCAATAGGACTCTGCAGTCAGTTTAAACGGTGTCTTGGACTCTCTTGTTTTCCTGCTCATCAGCAGACAGATACTCCTTGGGCTCGGCTATTCTTGCCACATGCAGCCTCAACCATCTCGCTCCCTCTCCCTGGCCATGGTCTCCTTAAACCACGTTTTCTGCTTGTCCTCAGTTCCCAGTACTCCCCAATCCACTTCTGAGAAATAGACAAATTGCCGGCGGCTCTATTATTCCGTTTCTAAACTCCAAGCTCGCGCCCAGCTGATAAAAGCCTTCCCTCCCATTTCATTATTAAACCCCCAGCGTGTGCCAACACACTGTGCACGTACTTCACAGCCAACAGTGAGAAAAACGGGCAGACCCTTGCCCTCCTGGAGCTCACATTCTCACGGGGAGGTAAACACTTGAAAAATGAATGAGCAAA